CTCCACTTCCCCCCCCCCCAAAAAAAAAGCAAAAACAAACAAACAAACAAAAAAAACACAGCATCCTTGTATTGCAAAATTCATCAATAACTCATTAATTATTACCTTACTCAAAGAATATTTCCCCTCAGGAGTTTCAGAATGTTTTCAGGTAAGAAGCAGGTAGTTTTTCAGTTACCCAGAGATACTCATCATGTCTTCCCCTTACCCCCACCCTTTAGTTTCATAGGAACCCCTATTGGTTCCCACTTCTACCACTTCCCCCCACCAAAAAAAAAAAAAAAAAAAAGAAAAAGAAAGTAAAATAAATAATAATAATTATAAATACAAAAAATAAAAATAAATCTTGTTATTGTTAAATTCATTAATGAAACATTTAAATTATTACGTTACTCAATGAATATTTTCCCCTCAGGATTTTTGGTGCCATAACATTTGGAGGCATGGCTGTTGGAAGAGCATCTGGGTTTGCCCCCGACTACAGCAAGGCCAAGACAGCTGCTGCCAAACTGTTTGCTTTGTTTGATCGTGAACCATCCATTGATTCTTCTTGCCAAGATGGAAAGACCGTGGTAAGTTGAAAAGGAAAGGTAGCATTGGAAGCCAAGAGAGTCTTTAAAATAGAACTGAAGAAAGATATTTTATTTTAAGCCTGTTTCATTCATTCATTCATTCATTCTTTCATTTTAAACTGAAGCAGCCATCACATTTTTTCATTTATTTTTATTATACCTAATGTTGCGAAGACATTTTTGGGCACAGAGAAGTATGTATTGAAGTGACCATATGTTGTTTATTATTTTTAGTAAGTTTATTTCAAATATATGTGACTAAAATAGATAAATAAATCTAGTACAAATAATAATATTTAGTGAATTATTTACAAGACAGTTCTACCTATTTGTCTCCAGGCCAACATAGCTGGTGAGGTTCGTTTCCAAGATGCTCGCTTCGTGTACCCAACACGTCCCGAAGTGAAGGTCCTCAGGGGTCTTAACTTGACCCTTAAACCTGGTCAAACGCTGGCCCTGGTGGGGTCCAGTGGGTGTGGTAAGAGCACCACTATCCAGCTGATTGAGAGGTTTTATGACCCTGTGGAGGGACAAGTGGTCAGTATACATGTCTTACTATGTCTTACTGTGTCTTACAGAAGATGATTTTTATTTGCTGACGAGCATTATGAAACATTGTTTCATTTTGTTCCTATTGATACAATAAATTGAATATAAAAATTGATTACTGAAGAAACATTATTTTAATTTGTTGCATTTTGAAAGAATAACATACGAAAAAGAAGTTTTTTTAAGTTAATAGGTACAGGGAAGGAATAAGAAAGGCAAAATCTTCCAATGAATAAATTTAGCTATTAGGTTCAGGGGTAAAAAATCCTACATCTGCCAACAGATTTTTTCAAAAAGGAAGAAGATTTAGATTTCCCTATAAAGACTTCTTCAGAAGGAAAAAAGATACATGTATTTCAGTATTCTGCAATAAGGTAATATATTGGTTATGATCCCTTTAGGAGCAAAAACCTGCATTATACTTTTAAATATGTACTTAAGTTTCTTTTGCTCTCATGTTGAAATATTTACTGTGTTCTGTTTCAGACCCTGGATGGATATAACACCAAGGATCTCAACCTGCAGTGGCTGAGGGGACAGCTCGGCCTGGTATCCCAGGAACCTGTGCTGTTTGGCACCAGCATCGCTCAGAACATTGCGTACGGAGATAACTCCAGAGAGGTTCCCATGCAGGCAATTATAGAAGCTGCTAAAGCAGCCAACATCCACAACTTCATTTCTTCTTTGCCAATGGTCAGTTGGGTGTAATTTCATTTTTCATTTTTTTTTTTTTTACTAAAACCAGTTACTTTAATTGAATACTTGTTTAAAGAAATAAGGAAGCCTTTTTTATGATTCCAGCTAGTTTGACTTGATGCTGTACTGTTAAATTTAATGCTGTCCTTTGAAATTTAAGACATTTACTTTTTAATTTTAAACTTAGGTACTATTTACTTGATGTACAGGTAGTTTAAAGTTTTTTAGCTGTTAAGTGTCATACATGCATCATAGTAGGTGGGTGATGAGTTGAAATTTCCTAAATCCTAAGATCATAAAATTCACATCACATTCAAATCTGGCCTCCAGTTGTAAAATTCACATACAAAGAATATGTCTGATGAAGGGTTTTCCCAGCAAACCATCCAACTGTCATTTGGACAGCATCACCGAACGGCCTATATGTTCAGAGACAGCTGGACGGCTTATGGGCTTTTTTGGAAATATGATGGCTTAAGACATACTTGGACTCCCTGAAATTTTGTAGAAAATTACAGGTGGTAATTTTGGCCGGCCTGTAACCCCAATCCTGAGCAAAGCCCTGTTTCAAATTCAGACTCTGTCTTCCATTTCTAGGGTTATGACACCAATGTGGGAGACAAGGGTGCCCAGTTAAGTGGTGGTCAGAAACAGAGGGTGGCCATTGCAAGGGCACTGGTCAGAAATCCTAAGATACTGCTCCTGGACGAGGCAACATCAGCTCTGGACACGGAGAGTGAAAAGGTGGGACATGGAATTGTTTGTGAAAATCTCTCACTCTCTCTGCAAGTCTGCCTTCCCTATCTCCACAGTAATAGCACCTTTTCCTCTGTCTTTGATTCTCTCGTTCTCTCTCTCTTTTTCTCTCATAACACCATACGGTTGTGCATTCCATCAAATTCAAGTTGAATATGAGATGGTATGTAGATGTATGCATGTTTGTGTATCGTAAAATATTAAATCACCCTTTATTTACTATTTCAGATTGTACAGGAGGCATTGGACAAGGCCCAGGAGGGCAGAACATGTATAGTGATTGCTCACAGACTGTCTACAATACAGAATGCAGATCAAATAGCTGTTATACACAGTGGACGTGTGCACGAACAGGGCACGCACTCTGAACTCATGGCCATGCAATCCATGTACTACAAACTGCAAATGGCTTCAAAGAAGGTCCAGAAAGCTTGAATATCATTGGATGATTAAGTTTTGTTAGTTGTTCTCTGATTGGAGAATGTGGCTCTGTTCTCTCTCCTCTCAGCTGTTTGGCTCAGAGCAGACAATTTGGTGGGTGATGCTTATATATGTAAAGAAATGAATTATATGTTGAACGGATTCTGTTACGCCTATTTTGATTGGAAAACAGCTGACACTTTCAAGAATCCTCACTTAATTTTGTTACATCTGATTTGATTGGTTCACAGCTGACACTTCTAAGGATCCTCACTTCCAGGATGTATGATTGGTGAATTATTTGTCCAATGGATTTTGTTACACTTATTTTGATTGGAACACAGCTGACACTTTTAAAGAATCCTCACTGGAACTCAAGGGCAGGTTTTCATGTATTCTATCTGATACGTTCACAGGACAGCCATAGTATTATGTTTTAGTAGTAATAACTACTCGAAGAGTGACTTGTGAAACCAGTTTTTGATTTCCCAATTTATTTTTGGAAGAATGTTAACAAGAACAGAGGACCTTTAATCTTGAAGGTTTGATGGCTGCATCACCTATTATTTGCTACCTCTAATTTTGAGAGCAGTACAGTTGGCACTATCATGACAGATATTTTCAAAAGAAAATTAACAGCTTAGTAAAGTGTTTAGATTGGTTTGCAGCTGACATTTTGTTTTGTAAAAGGACATATGATTGGCTCATATTATTATTGTCACTGATCCTTTGATTGGACCACAACTTACACCTTCATGACAATGAGGGATAATTTAAAGATGTCCTGATTGGCTGGATTTACTTATGTCAAAACTTCTTTGAATGGATCATAGTCAATGCTTCACAGAAAGCTCAAAAGTGAAAATATTGAGGAAGGGTGAAAATTTGGTAATCAGCTGACTGGGGCAGGTGGAAGAACAGCTGACAGGGCATATTTCTGAATATTTTGTTATGTTCCCTTTGTATGAGATGATGTTAAATATATTACTAACTCTTGACCACTGAACAATAAAAAAACAAAACAAAACAAAAAAAAAAAAACTATTTATATTTTTCAACCATAAAAGTAATCATGAAATTCACTGTTAATATGAAAGCACCTATTTGTACACTTAACAAAGAAAAAAAAAACAAATGTGAAATTGAGATGCAATTGTCCAATATGTATTAATTAACTTATTAACCTTCAACTTACGTTTTTTATGAATCTATTTTTATTTTATTTTACCTTTATGAATGTTATTGTGGTTTGCACACTGAAGGAGTATTACACAGTTGAGCAATGGTAACTGAAGTCTGGAAAACGGGTGATGTGACACGCCAGGAAGTATGTTATATTGCTTTTATATTGTTTACGTTCTATACATAACTATTCAATCTATGACGATATCAAAAACAAACATGAACAGTGCTTAATCTTTTTGCTGACAGGTGGTTCACAAGTATTTTTTGTCATACGCAAAAATCACCTTCCAAGCAATTGCCAGGTGGATTATATATATATATATATATATATATATATATATATATTTATATATATATATATATATATATATATATATATATCAAAAGTCATGTTTTTTCTTGAAGAAAGGCTACCAGTAACTCTCAAGTACACTTGCTTAACAAAATGTGATAGTTTTTCTTATATTAATGTTTTAGCACATAGCATGGACAAAGATAGTTTTGCTCATTTTACTTATACTGCTGATTCTGGATATACTGTTAAACATATCTGTTCTGATTCGAGGTCTGTTCAGAATGAGTTAGTACTAGAGTGACCAAGCTTGTGTGAACTAACTCCACAGGGGATCCTTAGGTCTGTACTACAGTTTCAGGTATTGACAATTTATTACCTCTTTTTCATGGCTAGTTAACTGGATTAATTTTGATTGGTACTTTGGGGCTTGCGAAAGGGATAACCCCCCTCCCTGAGAGTTATGACTGATAGAACCAGTAAAACTACTGCATGATGTAAATAGGGGCCTACTGATTCCAAGAAACCAATCCTTGATTAATAATCTGTTATTATGTTATGTAATTTTACTGATAGTATAATTATGTTTTTATGTTATGTTTATGCTTGATAAGATGGTAAAACGATGAATAATTTCTAATGACAATAAATATTTATAACCAAGGAAGCATGGCCTTTTGAGGTAGAAACATTATGTCTAATAGGTAAAAAAAGTCTTGAAAAATTAGTTTTATTTTTGGCTTACCATGTATTCTGTTATATTAACTTATTTAATGTCTTTAACATGTTGTTTTTGTACATGAGGCTAATCAAAATAATTAGCAGGGAGTAGCTTTATACATGTTTAGTATGTGACGAAGTGGATACTGTTGATGTTTCAATTATTTTCAATCAGCACTCAGTATGTAGAGGTACGTAGTTTATTTGTTTGACAATAGAGGTCACCACAAAGGGCCTATAATGTGACATATTTATTGGAGATGTCCATTCCCAGCCACACAAATGCTTGCTAAGTTTACACAAAGAACCCTTCACATTGTTTGTAGGCATGCTGATTAAGGTGTGTCAATGTGCACTGTCAGCAACCCTGGTTATCTAGCTTTGTGGTTTCTTTGCAGGCTCGTAGCCAGGGGTGGTGGTGGAAAGAACCACCCCTTTTGCTGGGAAAAGGTCCACTCTGGGTAAAATTTGATCTAGGTACATGAAGTTTTTATGGAAAAGGGTCCACTTTTTCAGAAAAAGAACCCCCCTTTTGCAATTACTGGCTACGGGCCTGCTTTGTATATATTACGTATATTAATAACTGCTGTTCAATCCCTGTGCCAACTTGGCTTTATCTGAAAATAATAATGGTTTTTAAATGATTGTCCACGGGTAAAAAGAGTCTGGATGAAAGTACAATGTATATTAATAAGTTTATATAGACGATCATTTGTCAATAAAACCGGAAACATTTCAAATAATTTCCACGTATAGCTTTTTTGTTGATTATTTTTTCTTAATTTGAGTCAAGTTAGTCATTCTTTCTGCAGTCTAAAAAGTGAAAGCAGATGACACAAGACTACCTGTCTACCTTTTTTTGCTCAGTTTGGAAAAGTCGCCCTTTTCCGCAGTCCCCTACTTCCACTATGTGCTGCGAATTAAATTTACTTCGTCAAATTGATGCAGTTGACCATAGTTACATGTACCTTCTAACGGGAGATGTGTGTCTTTACAACACCAAGAACATTGTTAAAACCTGTATGATAACATATGTGTTCAAGATGCTTGTAGCAAGGAGTTATAACTCCTTGCTTGTAGTATATTTTAAAGCCATAGTAATCTGTAGAAATGGGAAGATAGTGAAAATGATTGCAGTAGTTGAGACACATTGTGTCGGGTTGTTACGAGAAAATTGTGTTCTCTGTAGGAAGTGTGTTGAACGGACTAGCCAAGAAGTCCCAGTTTTAGTGACGACAATAACTTTATAATACACTTATTACGATATAACTCGGTTTTGCCGAGATGGCGTTAGCATTTTTATAATCAAAATTAGCCAACATTAGACCTATTTAGTTGACAACACGTAAGCGTATTCAGCTCATATTCTATTGCCGATTCTTGTCATTTCAAGTTGGACTTTCAAGTTTCATCCGCAAAAATCGTAATATTCTTAAAAATGTAATTTTAATCTTGGCGTTAATCAGTAGGCCTACTCAACTCGATTCTTAACTTGGATTAGATCGATGTTTAAGGGCCTAAATCCTTTTCCATTTTTAATTTTAATTAGAAAAAAAAAAAAAATTGGCTCTTAATGTTTGACCAATATGGTGCTGTTGGCGACCCTGTTGATATACCCATAAAAGTCCATTGAAGTCTTCGTAAGAACTAGAATGATCTCGCACTTGTTCGATCGCTTTGTTGTTGCTGCAGGCCCGTAGCCAGGGAGGGGGTTTAAAAGTACCCCCCTCCCCCTTTTTTTTACAGGGAAAAGGTCCCCGCTGGATAAAATTTCATGTGGGTACATGAAGGTTTAATGGCGAAAAGGTCCACTTTTTCAGAAAAAGCCCCCCTCCCCGTTGAAATTGCTGGCTACGGGCCCTAGCAGCGTTCGAGAAAGGCTTAGGCCTAAACACGGGATAAGGGAGAGAAAAAAGAGGATTTTACTTTTTGTTGTTTTTGCCCGTTTCCAATTCGGATGTTCGTTTCAATCTATAACAAAGATATTTACAGGCAAACGTTGCGCCATGGACCTCTAGTATTAAAGCCCCTATTTGGTGAGGTTATATCCTGGTAGTTAAAGCAATGTTTATCTTAATCATCAAGGAAAATAAAAACGCATCTCGGAAAATAAAAAGTGACTTTCACTTTAACTTTCACTAAAGAAAATACCCAAGGGCCCCTGTTAATAATATTACGACCTATAAATCCGTTCTCAGGTCCAAATTTCCTCGTCTTTACTGCCACGAGTTATGCTCACCTGCCTATATGCTCTCAACTCGATGTCCAAAGTAACAGACTAGAAAAAATGGGAATTAAAAAAAATCGCTTTACGTAGGGCCTACAGTAATTCTGTGAACAGTTTTAGAAATGATAATTGTTGAGTAATAAGGGGAGCTTGTGGAAATCTCCAGGAAATTTAAACTTTGTAGGCCTATAAATGAAGGTTTGACGCTCAAAGGGCCTTTAAAATAGGGGAGACCGGGGCTAGTTGGACCCCGGGGTAAGTTGGCCCCCCGTCAATTTACGAAAAAGTAACTACGAGGTAAAAAAATTGGTCACATACTCTTGTAAAGTGACCGTAGCCTACAATGCTAAGGAAGTATCGGCCGTTAAAAAGTTTTACTTAAGCGGTGAGTCCAAATGAACGATTTTTGCACCTAAAAGTAATTTTGTTTATCAGAATTAAAAATCTATTTTCAAAGGCTTTTGATCGAATATAATATATGTATAGGGCATCAAACTGAAGCTCATTATTTCAAGTTTCACTGAGATATATCACCGTTGCTCATTCTAGCATCATAAATGGTTGCCATCCTTTAAAATAAAAAAGGTGCATGAGGGGCTAGTTGGCCCCCTAGACTCGGGGCAAGTTGGACCCTCATATTACCC